GGGGGAGGGCGCGGCAGGGGCTGCCTGGAGCACCGGGGAGGGCGGCGGAGCCGGAGCCCTGCCGCCCCTCGGGGCCTCGCCGGCAGAGCGGGGGCTGCCCCGGCCATAGCCCTTTCTCGGGGGGGCTCCTGCGTCCCCGGCCGGGCGTGAGTCGGTGGTTCCTGCCGAGGCTGTTTCTGCATCCCCGACTCGCTGGACACCCCGCGGTGCTCCGTCTGCCGCTGCTGGAGACCCTGGGCCCCGCTCCCTGACCCGGGGTCGGTAAGCAGGGCCTGGGTCGGTGTGAGCCTCCAGTGGGTGAGAGGGGATGGGAGGGGAAGTGGCAAAACTCTTCAGAAAGTTGTAAATGGGGAAGAGGTGGAAAACAAATAAACCCCAAATGACGGAGCAGTGGCGGTGTCACCTGGGGCCGTGGGACAGGCCGTGCTGCTGACCTTGCGGTGTGTGGGCTGTGTGCGGGGCCCGTGGCAGCCCTGTCCCACAGAGGACGTGTGGAAGTGTGTTGTGGGCAGCTGGGATGTGCTCCAGGGCTTGCTTTCCCAGGCAGGTTTAGCCCCACGGGCAGCCTGTGGCCGGGTGGGCTCTGTCCCTCCATGCAGGGACAGCTCCTCTTCCCAGGAGTGCGGCTCGATTTTGTGCTGGTATCTCGGGTGCAAGCTCTACACAGCTGGCCGCGCGTGTCTGCAGCCCCAGAGCTTGTCCCCGTGCTTGCCTCCTCGCCGTCCTGTGTCACCGCCTCGCTTGGTCCTGCTGCCACCTGCATCCATTTCTGCTCTGTTGTCAGGTCCGACTCCCCAGGACCCCGAGTCCCCCCAACGCGTAGCGGTGGGGCTGTGCCCTGGGGAGATGTGCAGGGTAGAGCGTGGGGGGGCGGTGGGGGGCAGGTCGGTCCCCAAGGCCAGGAGCGGGCTCTGGCCTCGCCTCGCCGGCTGTCTGAGGGGAGCAGGCTGTGTCTGATGTCACTGCGGTGCATGGTGGGTAATTATGCACGTTGCAATGAAAATAATAAGGCCGGCTCCATAGTGGTGTCTAAAAATACTGCTAATGCGGAGTGCCTGCCGGGTGCCTTTGTTTGTCACCTTTGGGTGTTTGCTTTGAGGCCGGCCGGGCGGCGGGAGCCACAGTCTGCAGCATCGCGCCCCTGGGGCAGTGGGTTTGGTTTGGCAGGTGAACTGCAGCCTCCCTGCACCCCTCCATGCCCCCCAGCTCAGGCAGCAGAGCCAGGGCAGGTGTTGGCATGGGAGGTGAGGCGGGAGTCACCTGGGTGCATTTGGGAGGCTCTGGTGTCATCCCCCCTGCACACAGCCATGCAGGGAGTTGCGGTGGGGTGGCGGGGCTTTGTCCCCCGCAGCCTTGCTTGGAGCCAGGCACTCTGACGTGTGGCTATTCCTGTGTCCCGACAATCTGCCCTGATGTCCCCTGGCAGGTACCAGCGTGCTGGCCTGCCCGCAGGCGGTTTGGAGGAGATTGGGGTTTGGGCCCAGGTGGTGTGATCTGTCCATCACTGGCATTGTGTGGCTGGAGCAGAGCTCACTGGGGCCAGGGCTGCCGAGTCTTCCTCCCGGGGCTGCCTCTGTGGCGTGTCCCAGTACGGGTAGGATAGGGACCGTGGCATCTTGCTGCTTTCCAGCTGAGCAAAGGCGGGAGGGAGGGATGCGTGTCTGGAGCAGAGGGAAATGGTGTGGTAGGTGCTGGGTGGCACCTGGGTGGTGGCTCGGGGCGAGGGCTGCTCGCCGTGCTGATCTCCGCTCCATGGGCAGGCAGGCGCTCTGCCTGTCCGCTGTCTGTGCAACTCTTGCTGCTGCTGTGGTCCCTCCATGTGCTGCCAGGAGCTGGTAGCTCCCTCCTGCAGTGGAGGGAGAGGCTTGCAGGGATGGTGAGAGCCATCTGGAGCCCTGGCCTGGCCTGCTGGCAGGGCAGCAGCGGAGGGCTGGGAAGGGCAGGAAACGGTGAGCCTGTGCTCTTGGGTCTCCATGATGAGTCTCTTCTGCTTCGTGTGCAGGGAGGTCAGAGCAGCAGCTGCTCTTGGTTCCCAGTTGATGCTTGCGGAGGGCTCTGGCTCCAGCCATCAGCCATGAGAGCTAAGCCTCGTCCTTCTTCACCTTGGGGTGAGTGGAGAAGCATTACCCCACCTTGCCTTTAGGGTTGTGGCTACATTTTTTGGGGCCACGTGCTAGGCCCTCCCTTCACTAGAGGGGGAGCATCGCCGCTGCCTCTGCTCTTGCCAGGCGCTAAATCTGACCTCTGAAGCCATGCATGGCAGTCATGTTCCCCTGAGTGGTAAACATGCCGTCCCTACCTGCCGCACCATGTGGCTCCCCTTTGGTGAGCAAGGAACAAAGAACGGGGAGAGGAGACTTTGCGAATCCCCATTGATTTGCACTGTGGAAGCTGCCTGCTGTGTTTTTGCATCTGCCTGGGACCAGGGCTCTGCAAGGGGAATTGATCAAGCTGTAAAACCCAGAGCCAGCTAATGAAATAGGGACTATAGATTTTTATTTTAAATGGAAGAGAGTTTAGGAGAGATTTAATTATCCCTGTTTTATGGACCTGCTAGAGGAATGAAATAACAGCCGGCAGGTAGGGCCCG